TACCCAGCTTTTCTTTTGAGGGAGCTGCCCCACTCCTACCTCCCACTTCCACTCATTACCTGAAGAGGGGCTCTAACCTGGCCACACAGTCCTATTCTCCAGGCCATGGAGATGGATGAGCTAACTCAAGACATTAGCTAGCCCCTGTGGGAAAACAGCTCTTTTGCTGGGTCTGGTAAGCTGCTGGGACATGGGACTGGAGCTGCTAGTGGCCTTGATGCCCCACCCCCACCCCGAGGGAATGCCCAGCTGAGGGTGATGCCAACAAAGATGACAGGGGGGCAGGAAATAAAGGCAGCCCAGCATGCCAGGTGCTCTTCTGGGGCCTTCGTGTCAAGCCGGACTTACAGGCAGCCATTCCCCTGGAAATTCCAGTCGCATGAGACATTAATTCCTTTTTTTTTTTTTTTTTTTTTTTTAAGGAAGATTGAACCAGTCTCTGTCACTTGCAGCCAGAGGCTCCTGACAACAGCCTGCAATGCCATGGCCCTGGGCTGGCATGGCTTGTTTGGTTTGACCAGTGGGTCACCACTTGGCAGAGTAGGGATGATGGCGCCATGACACTGACCACAGCTTAGCTGCCCTGAAGGACAGGGCTGCCTCAGACAGCATGTGGCCTGAATCCCAGAGCTCCAGGCAAGGGCTTTCTCAGGAAGGAGCCAGGGAGAAGAGTGGGAAAGGTGTGCACAACCTGGCTAAACCTTCCTCTCCTGGGTCCAGGAATTGTTAAATCCAGCAGAAAATAATGTGCCTGAGCTCAGCCCTTTCTCTCTGGCCCAGAGAAGCATCTGAAGAAATCACAGGTTTTCAGAATGGACCACTCTGGACTGCAGTGAGCCCATCCTGACTGGTGCCCTGGAGAACAGTAAACTAGCAGCCATAGGGCAGCACCGTGGGAGAATGTGCCTGCACGGAGGGTTGCTTGGGAGGTGGGGAGAGGGACTGGCAGCAACCCAGTTGTTCATCAATGTGGGAGTCCCCTAGGGAACAAGGAACCAGACAGACACAGCACAGAGACATCCTAAAAGTGGGATAAGTGAAAATAGAAAACAGAGTAAGATCCTTAGCACAATACCATCATATATGCATATTATATATATAAAACAAGTCGATATATTTTATAAAGATACACACATGCAAGGAAGGGCTTACACCAAATGCCATAGTGGTGCCTAACTGGGCAGGGGGAGGTACAAATGGGAGTTGCCTTGGGGGCAAAGCAGAAAAGTCAAACAAGACAAGAGAGAGGGCATGCCTGGTCCAGTGATAATACCATGCCCTGAACTGAGAGATCTGAAGAACTCAGCTCTGTACCCAGCAGGGGGGGAGGAAAGACACCCATCACTGTGCTCACAATCCTGGCCGCACCCTGGGATCACCAGAGGAGTCGTAAGACATCTGGGAGCCACTGAACTAAATACAGATGCACCTGGCTTCTAATCCTGGCTCTGCCACCCACAGCTTGGTGGTTTAGGCAAGCTACTTCCCTTTTCTGAGCCCTAGATTCTTTACCTGAAAGGCGCTAAATCACCCTGTCATGAGGAAAGAATGACTGAGATTGTCCCGAGAAGAGGCACCCTGGTGCTGGTTACATAGATGCAGCATTCTCTGCGGCAGCTGGGTTTCCTTGCCGAAGGGGGCTGGGCTGGAAACACAACTCCACCAGGTAAAAGAAATACAAGATGCCTACGAACCCCTTTGTATTTCTGAGATGAAATTTTGGCTCAAATTCTAGGGCAAAAACAGTGCACCCCTGCTCCACAAATTGGCGAGGATGCTTCCCAGATGAGGGTTGCCAGATAGAATACAGGAGCCCTGTTACACTTGAATTTCAGATAAACAACAAATTCTTTCATAAGTATGTCCCAAATATTGCATGGGACATACTTGTATTAAAAATTATCCATTATGTTTCTGAAATTCAAATGAAGCTGGGTGTCCTGTATTTTTATTTGCTCAACTTGACAGCCTTACCCAGATGACACTTTCATGGGTTGGTTTTCAATCTTCACCCAGTGGGGGCTGGGAGACGGAAGGGATAGCTGAGAGGTTCCTTCTCTGAAGTTTTCTATCCCGGGGATTAAGAGCTGAGAATCTCTAAAGGAACTATGCCCCCTCCTAATTCCTTGGGAGGAAAAGGAGGCTGGAGGGCTCTGCACAATATGAACACCAGCTTCCTTTTGTTTATCCATTTGATACCTTGGACACTACCCTCAGGAAGCCCAGTTCCCCCAGGAATTGGGAGGGAGGGACCCCGTTTATGGTAAGGATTTTGTGATTCTCATGTTGCCTCACCCCATGCTGGCAACAGGAAGGTCTTTTGCCTGGACTCAAACCATACAAAATCACTGTTTAGATTTCTTATTTTTATTATAACTTTTTTTCTGATTATAAATCATTATTGATAACTTGGGGGGAAGAATCACCCATAATCCATCTACCCAGATGTAACCCATGTCAATTTGCCCTTCCCCTGGGAAGAGCCTTGATCACATGCCAGAAACTTCCTCCTTATCTTAATGACCTTCAGAAAGGAAAATAACTTTATTGCCCTTTCTGATTGTAAGAGCAATAGCTCTTTATATAAATATATGGTTTTTTTTTTAAGTTAACTCAGAGATATAAAGAAGTGAAACTCACCTAGAAGTCCCATCCCTCAGACACTGAATTTCTTCGAATCCATTTCCCTTTTTCATGTGTTTGTAAACATGGTCTTGGGACACCTGTGGTGCAGGTGCTTCCCGTGAGCACACCTCAGGCGCTACTTGCAGATAAAGAATCAGGCTCAGGTCTGCCTCCTAACACTGATGTTCCAGTGGGCTCTCCCCCTTCCCTCCAAGGGGCAAGCGCTCAGTAAAGGTTTGTCAGGACCCACATGAATGCGAGGAAGAGTGCCTGGCTCCTCACAGGCTGACTCAGTCTCATTAAGGCATCAAGGGCTGCTTCCAATTTGTATTTTTAAAAAATCCTAATCCACTTGGGCAGATTACAGAGTGGCTATGAGTTCTTGGCTGTTACCCCGAGACAAGGCCTGAGAGAGCAAGGGAATGAGGTGTGATTATTTCCATGCTCTACAGGAATAAAGAGCTCCATAAGAGAATGACAAGAGATCTATCAGGTTTTCAAAACCTGCATTTCCTGGAGGTGAAATACCAAAACTTTCCATGGAAAAGAGCATGGGGGAACTTGGATACAAGGTTCAAGTAAAGTTCCAGCTTGGAGGGTAGGCTGCTATTCACAATTTGGTCTGCCTAAGCCTGGAATTCAGACACTTGTGCCAGCCCATGTAAAATGAGCAGAGATTCCTATTTCTTAGCGGTTATTTCTTGAGTGCCTTCTATGTTCCAGGTACTTTGCTGCACCCCTTTCATATACCATCTCATGTCACCCCACCAGCAGTCCCAAGAAGTGGGTTATATCATGAGCCCATCTTACAGATGAAGAAACTGAGGTACAGAGAGGGTCAGGCACCTGGCCAAGGCCACACAGCTGGCAAGTGGAGAGCCAGGTGTGGAACAGAGGTCCATGTGATTCCCAACTCTCTGCTCTTAACCACTCAAGAGTTCTGCTGCCTTCCTTCTCAGGAGGGGACACAGCCTGGATACATCTTCCCTCCTTGCCCAATAGTGTTGGGGATGAGGGAGGAGCCCAGCCCAGGGTTTTCAAACCTCAAGAAGCTGGGCTGAAAACCAGAACAGCCCAAATATTCAGATATACAACTGTGATCCATCCTTATCATGAAATACTACTCAGCAATAAAAAAGTAACAAGTAACAAACATGGCAACAACATGGATGAATCTCAAAAATACTGGGCTGAGATAAAGAAGCCAGATATTAATGCATATATACTGTATGATTCCATTTATATGAAACTTCAGAATAGGTGTAACTAATCTATGGTGAAAAATCAGAAAAGTGGCTGCCTCCAGGAAAAAGGGGGGCCTACTCAGAAGGGGTAAGTGGGAATTTTCTTGGGTTATGGACAGGTGTACAAATCTTGCAAAACTCAAACTTTAGATCTGTGCATTCATTGCTGGCAAATGACATGTAGGGTTGTGTCCAGATCTCCTGAGAAACCTGCTCTCCCTTTAGTCCCCTGGCAGTTGAGGCTGGGTTGGCTTAGAGGCAATCTGTGAGTTCAAGAGCTAAGGCCACAGACAGAAAGCAGGTGAGTGGTTACCAGGGGCTGGAGATGGGGCAGGAATGGGAACAGCTTGATGGGTATGAGTTCCCCTTTGGAGCAATGAAAATGTTTAGGGACTAGATAGAGGTAATGGTTACCAACTGAATGCCACTGGATTGTACACTTTAAAAGGGGTTACTTTTATGTGAATTTTACTTAAAAAAAGAAAGAACGAAAGAAAGAAAAGTCTCAAGATAAGGGCAGCAACTTCTGTTTCCATGAGTTCTCACCACCAGGTTCAGCCTTAGTGGCCTAGTAGTAGCTGCGTGTTCTTTCAGAGCAGGGCCACACTTACCTCCCTGTCTCCCTAATGGACCTTGAGCCCCTTAATGGTGGGCCTGGATCTGATGCATATGCTTGGTCACTTTTCCTGGGCAGTATAGATACTTGAGATTTGGGGTATAAATTTGATGGCTGAGTAAGTATATGTGTGAGTGAATGAATGATTGAGTATCAAATGAACAAGGAAGTGAACGAATGAGCAAAGAAATGGATGAAAGAATGAGTGAGTGCACAAGTGACTGAGTGACGGAGTAAGTGCATGACCCGCGCCAGAGCATGGGCCCTGGACTCAACCGGGTGGGTTCCAGCCCTGACTTTGCAATGCAAGTTATTAACCTCTCTCTCCACGCCTGTTTTCTCACCTACAAGAGGGGATCACAGCCTGTCATAAGAATATGTGAGTTAAAATGTGTAACTCTCCAAGCAAAGTGAGCCTTCAGTGTTGTATTAATGGAATCGCATCCATGTGCACAGGGCACCACTGCCTGTTGCGAAGGCGCCGCCCCCTTCCCCGCTCAGGGACCACGACCTACCAAGGAGCTGCACCTCGTCGGTGATGCCGTAGACGTCGATGAGCGCCCAGAGCGGGCCACCCACGGCCACGCCGCAGTGGAAGAGCACAGGCTCGCCATCGTTGACGCTGTAGAAGACGCGGCCGTGGCGGTCCGCCCAGTAGGCCAGCACGGTGTCACGCAGGGCCAGGTTCTCGGGCAGCGCCTTGGCCCAGTAGCCGGGCCGCGTGACGAGGTCGGGGCAGGCATACTTAGGGATGTCCTGGGCGCTCATGAGCGATGGGTCGTGCACGGTGAAGCCGAAGCGCAGCGCGCCACTCCAACCCGGGCGCACGGCCACCAGGCGCAGCCGCACCTGTTCGTACAGCCGGATGGGCCGCTGCGTGAACGTGACGCCATTGCAGAAGCTGTTGCGCCGCGTGGCCCGGCGCGAGTGGCCGTCCAGCCGCACATTCTTGCCCTTGGCCTGTGCGTGGAAACGCGGCGCATCACTCAGAACTGCGCGCCGCTCAGGGCCAGGGCCGCAGTACGGCCGCGTGGCCAGGAGACGCGCCGGCGGGCTCGAGTCTGCGGGAAGAAACACACAGGAGTTAGGGCCTTTCGGAACTCTATGGCCGCATTCATCTTTTAATAATGATTTCCACTTTAAAATCTATCGTAATTACACTGGTAAGTGATAACTTTGAGAAGGTTCCAGCCACCCCTAGTCTGATCAACACTGCCACAACTAAGCCATTATACCCACTTCACAGATGAGCAAACCAAGGCTTCACGTATGAGTGTGTCTGAGTGTGAGTGTGTAAGAGTGAGTGTGTGTGTGTGTGTGCATGCACCCAGTGAAGCACTTGTGCAGAGATGTTTCACTCCCAAGTGGGCCAATGAGCTTGTCCCAACAGCCAGGCTGGCTTCATCTGACTTCACCCCCATCAAATCCTTCTGAATCTACAGGCTTCCTCCAAGGGCCGCTTTTGAGCAGCAGAGTCCCGCCAAAGGCAACAGGGGCGTTGAATTCTTGGGGGAGTAGTGGAGGTCTCAGGCTGCTTTTCTTCCTGTTTTTGTTCAAAGGGAAGGCAGAAAACGCCATACAAAAAGTCAGTCTTGGGCACCTTGACAATAGAATAGAAAGCAATATAAAGAGTGCAGCCACTCGGCACTTCCCGGTTGCATGATATGTGGTGGCCCTTGTCACCTCTCTAGCCTGTTTATTTGCCTGTAAAATGGGGATACTACTCACCTCACACAGCTGCTAAAAGACTGGGTGGATGATGTTCCTAGACTATAGCCTAGCACAAAGTATGTGTTTAATAGGCAACTAATAATGTGATCATAATACTGATGTTCCACAGGAAACCTAAGCCAGGGTTTGGTGACTTCCCCTTCTATCTGCAGAAAATGAAGGGATTCTTCACAAGTATGGTCGGCTCTTCAAGAACATATACTTATCAGGATTCATTTGTAAGGGAACTTTGCCCTAAAGGACCTGGAGAATCTTGGATGTCCCTTTTCAAAGGATCTGGCTGCTGGCCACAAACCTAGGAGGCCTGGGAATGAGGTAGGGGCTTCATCCTTCTCACCTTTCCTCCTCCATCCCAGGGGCAATTCCTGGGAGGCTCTGGCAGCCTGGGAGGTGGCAGGGCGGGTAATTACTGCACGAGTCTCTGCTGCTTGCTCACAATAGCAGCCAAGTACAATTTTCATGGCAAGTGCTCATAAATCACAAGCAAACCCTGGCACACAATGGTCTGTAGTCATGGGGGAAGAATGGAGACCCCAGGGAATGAGAGACCACTGCAGGGACCACTCCTCCCAAGCTCAGCCACGGGGCTCGCTGTGTTCTGGGCATCATAGTGGGGTCTATGAATATTGAGGCTAATGGGAGTGAGAACAGGAGAAAATGAAGAGAGACAGGCAGTGATGAGGCAGGCAAGCCATGGCTCCCCTCTCCAGGCCCAGGGGTGAGGCCACCCAAGTCACTGACCAAGCTGGGAGGCCCCTCTCCAAACAGAAGCCACTGGCCCACAGAAGGCAAAATACAGAGAATACAGCCAATACCCCAAATGAGAAAAAAGAAGTTAAAGGGCCTTAGTCATTCATTCATTTAACAAATGTGTAGTGAGCATCTAGTATGTGCCAGGCACCATGCCAGGTGCTAGAACTACAGCAGTCTCCAAGAGAGACTTGCTTCCCACCAAGGTTCCCATTCTGAGAGCGCTGACATTCCAGGGGGCAAAGTCAGACAATAAATAAAACATACTCTGCCTGGTGGGATGCATTATGGAGAAAAATGCAGCCAAGGATGTGGGGCAGAGTGAGATGTTATCTCAGAGGGCCTTTTTGGTGAACGACTTTTGAGCAGAGAAGGAGGTGAGGGTGTAAGCCATGAGGGTATCTGGGGGAAGGGCATCCCAGGCAGGAGTAACAGCAAGTGCAAAGACCCTGAGTTGGGAGTGTGCTGGTGTGGCGAGAAGCAAGGAGGCCAGTGTAGCTGGAAAGGGGTGAGCAAGTGGCAGAGTGGGAGGAAATGAGAGTAGAGTGGAGTGGTAGGGAGAGGTGAGGTGGGGGAGGAGATCCTTTGGTGGTTCGGTTTTTCTTTACCCCATGTACTCTGGGTGACACAGGACGCTACAGGAGGTTTGGAGCAGGGAAGTGGAAGGACTGGTCAGGCTGCCATGCGGAGAGTGGACTTTTGGGGAGGGGTGGCAAGGGAGCTGGGGGTTAGGACAAGGCTACTGGGTCATTTCAGGGCAGAGGTGATGCAGGAGCAGATTGGGAAGTACCAGGCAAGGTGGTGAGAATGGGTCAGATTCTAGCTATGTTTTGAAGTTTTTAGTCTTTAATGAGAGAAATAGAAAACATTCAATATACCTGCTTTGTGTTCAAACTGTATTCAATGAATAAGACAAATAATGGATACTTGAAGGGGAAGCAGAGGTGGTGAAGGGGAATAGGGAGATTCCAGGGTAGGATCTTGGAGGGCAGGGGCTTGTCCATCTCATCTTTGGTCCCCCCGTGTAAGCAAAGGCCTGGCACACACCAGACACTTGATAAATGCCAGCTGCTGTGTTTACTATTGTTAGAGCTAGAGCAGACCTCAGAAATCATCTCCTCCAATAAGTCCATTTTAAAGATGGGAAAATGGGCCCACGAAGGGAGAGGGGCCTGCCAAGCTCAAGGTCAGTTGGGGTCTGGGCAGGAACCCCTTTCTTAGGTTCTTCTGGCCAAGCCATCTCTGGCATAAGAGGGAGAATGTCTGAGGTCACTCCCACTAAAGAAAGGGAAGGGGAGCCTTGCAGGGGGCTGGTCAAGCGGCACGTCCCTTAGGGACTGAGCCATTCTGAATGAGGACTCCAGTTTTCTGTAGCTCCCACAGCAGTTAGCCATGTGGACACGTGCTGTGTATGCCAGGCATCCATTTCTACTTTGCTGGTTACTGTGCTACAATTTCCCTTGGGATGCTAGCTTTCCCCCAGCTAGTGGGTTTACCTCACCCCAACTCTAGAAATTGGGGTGTGACTCAGACCTGGCCAATCAGATCACTGAATACTTTTTAGCACAGGGAGCCCTCTTTTGCTTATCAGCCAGGTTGAACTAGGTTTCTGATACTTGCAACCAAAATTGCCCTGACTGATAGAATGACCATGCATTCAGTAACCTTGTGGGGACACCACCAGCTCTGGGCTAGCGACTGGACATCCTGATTTAGTCCTTACGATAACTTTATAATAATGAGGTAGGACTACTGGCATTCCCACAATGCAGGTGAAGGAGTAGAGTTTCCGAGAAGGTTGAGTTATTTGCACAAAGTCGCATGGGTGGCTTAGCTTCAGGGCAGAGCTGTGATTGAAGCTAAGTTTGTGTGACCCGCATCCTGCCCTTTCAGCCAGTTTATTGTACTCTCTCGGCCCTTTAGAAACCAACACAAGACGGGCAAAAGGGCTGGGCTGTAGACTCTCTAGGCACTGGACTGGTAGAGGAGGGCAGTAGGCAGAATGTTCACTCTGCTATTTATCCATCCATCCTTTCTGCAGACACAACTCTAGTGCCAGGCAGTGAGGATGTGCGGACAACTGTACAATCCTGTCCCTGGGAGATCTGTGTCTCTCCATGGGAGAGAAGACACACAGATGAATAGACAGTGACAGAGGAGCATGATAAAAACCACCTTAGGCATCAGCACCTGGAAGCTACAGGGCCTGGAGGGAAGCCCAGACTCAGATAAGGGCTGGGAGGCAGGGGGTGATTGGTGCCCATAGAACCCGGTCTTGAAGGAGGTAGGGGAGGAGAGAGAACATTCCAGGCTGAGAGAACACTAGAAGCAGAGCGGGGGAAGCTGGGCATTGGACAGCGGTAAGTAATATGATATAGGTGTGGCACTGGGTGGGCAGCCAGTGCCTTGTGAGGATGCCATTGACAGTGCCAGAGCCAGCTGGGAAGGTCCTGGATGCCCAGAGGCCCCGCACGCACAGCACAGGGGAGAGGGCTTCCAGCCCAGCAGGCCAGCACTGCCTGCTAGGGAGAGGCTCCCAGGACAGCTAGAGCCAGGCTACAGGCCATCTCCAGGGCCACAAGAATGAGGGCAGGGGCCCGCTGGAGAGCTCTTTAGGCAGGGCAAAAAGCAAAAGGATGAAGGAAATACCAGCTGAGTGTAAACCATCAGGAGAGGCAGCCCTGCGCTGCAGACCCTGGCTTCTCCAGGCACGCTGTGGCCTTGTGCAAACCACCCAGCTTTTCCGGGCTGCAGCTTGCCTCCTGTGTTCGACAGGCGGATTCTCTCCAAGGTCCCCATAACTGGCAAACGCTCCAGGAAACATTAAATATGATCACAGGTCAAAGCCCTTCTGATCACCAAAGACCACAGCCACTCTTATTTGGTTATTTTTATCTCCCCTGCCATCACTGTGGCTTCTCCAACCTTATCTCTCAGTCAGAGAGTTTCTCTACACAATGGCTGGGGAATCCTAAGTGGTGTTCTCTGAGTGGCCTGGTGATTTGAATGAATGCTAGGGCAAAGTGGGATACTGCTTTGTTTTAAGGGGAAGTTTTCCGCAAAACCAACTATACGTTGGGACAAAACGCAGCCCAGCAACCAATGAGGTTTACATATTTGTTTAATCTTGATGGTACGATCCAACTTCCTTCAGGGAGTGAGTGATAAACAATCATTTCCCCCCTCAGAGGGCAGAGCCCTGAGATGAAGAAAACCGGAGTGTAAATGTTTCTAAGAGGATGTGTTGTTTACACAAATTGAAAATGCTTAAAATAAAAGAACAATAAGCAATCTCCAAATTGTATACCAACATCTGCTCTGAGCTTGGCTCAGGGAAAGCGGCTTCTACAAGAAACACAAAAGGGTGGATGTGGTGTGGAGGGGGCCCAGGGCCCCATGGAACATCTTAGTTTAAAGATGTTAGCAGAATATCTGAACTCCACCACTTAAATTACCACAAGGAAGTACTGAGTACCTTTTCTAACTTCATAGCAATCAGAGCACATGTCCAATTTTGCTTCCTGCCTTTTCTAACACAACATTACATTAAAAAAAAAAGAAGCATTTTCCCACATGGTTT